TACTGTCATCTAACCCCCTTTTATTTGTACATTCTTTTAAAAAAAACTTAATAAATATTGAAACCATAAAATCCTAATTGGTGGACTGTTGGTTATCTGTATCCTGTTTATATCTGTCTCCCTTTTTCACCTCTTTGGCAGGTTCTCAAAAATCTCTTCAATAAAGGAATCAAGTTCTCTTTGTATTGAACTAAAAAGAGAGGATTGAGTGTATACTTTTTCCTCTCCGAGTGTCGAGATGCTCACTGTAGTGGGGGTGGTCTCGATACTCGTCTTTCAATATGAAGACACTTGTATTCGTCACCCTTTTTCTCCTAAAAACCTAGGTCCCGTACCGAGTGCATTTTCAAAAATACTTCCAATAAGAAAATTGATTTCTCTTTGTATTGAATTAAAGAGAGAGGATTGAGTGTAGACTTCTTCCTCTCAGAGTGTCAGGATACTCACTGTAGTGTGAGTGGTCTCGATGCTCGTCTTTCAATACGAATACGTATCTCTTTTTCACAACTTCTTTCCAAAACTTTCTCTCCTAAAACCTCGGTCCCGTACTGAGTGCATTTTTCAAACTTCTTTTCACAACAAAAACTTGAATGGTCGTAGAGTGGAAAGGCGTAGGCCTTCTCCTATCCCGAGTGCTTGACATTACCGTAGGGTTCACTATCGCAAAGCACTTACCATTCAAGATCAAAAACATCTTTAATAAGAGAATTAAGTTCTCTTTGAATTGAATTAAAGAGAGAGGATTGAGTGTAGTCTTCTTCCTCTCCGAATGTCAGGATACTCACTGTAGTGTGTGTGGTCTTGATACTCGTCTTTCAATATGAAGACGCTACGTTCGCCACACCTTTTCATGACAAAAACTTTGAGATAAAGAATTAGATATTACCCGCAAGGGGTTACTATCCGATGACATATCTCACTCCTAAAAAACAACTCTCACAAACCAAACTTGACACTTTGCCTCGCATGGATAAAATTAATCTTTTAAAAAGGATATGTTACGTCCGTTCTACCGCAAACAGGTAACGTCCAAGTATCTAAACGAGCGAGCAATGATACACCTAAACTGCTAGAATGCGTACAATAGCATCATCCACAAAAACATCAACAAATCGTAGGCCGAACTACGACTGCTTTGATTCTTTACTTCTTTTAAGTAAAGATACGTAGGCACAAAGGCCACAATCCTTGCCGAGCATATTCCCCCTATATCTGTAGTTCTCTGGACTACGCCGACTCTGACTTTCTCATATCCGTTGAGAATACGTAGGCCTAGGACTGTGAAGTCCTACCGAGTCTCTTCTCCCCCTGTTACCTCTCTTTCCCTTGTTTCTAACCTTTCTCCCTCCATTTGGAATACTCTTTAAGCAATAATCTTTTAGCAAATATCTTCACGCATCGACAAACAAATGGTTCCCATCGAGTACGGTGGATGCGAGGGGGTGCTAATACCTTCCCTTCACATAAACGGCTTCTGAAACCATTCTTTGATCGCGAGACCATCTTATCCATTCCTTTCTTAAGGTTTTCTCGATATTTTCCTTTCCCCTCATGGGATAAATAAAGTTCGGTGGCGACTCTTCTGTCTTTCTTTTCGCCTCCCCGTCGTTGCCATTTTTTTGAGTAGCAACAACGGTGTTTAAGATATACCCATGACAGTGAGAAGGCATGTATGGTGGTGTTTTGAGGTAGTTTAAGAGACATGCTCACATGAGGTGAAAGACTCTGTTGATGATCGGTGATGCTTGGTAGTTAGTGTTTAGTTACCGACAATCATGTATTAAGGCTGTAGTGAGTGTTAAGCTCTTTATAGTGTAGAGAATGTGTATTGCTTAAGGTCCGCCCCTTCTCCCTTTTAGGAGAGATGTATTTATAGAGATTCCTATGACCCAGGGTTTAGGTCACCTTTAATGGCTTCAATGACTCCCTTCCTTTCAGGAGAAGTTATTGACCACTAATATTTCAGGAGTTAGTGGATACTCCTTCTTCCTTGACTAACGCGTCATGGTTACCTCTGGGTGGCTCACCGGGTCATCACCTGAGCGACACGACTCTTGGGAGAGGGAACCCTGGTTTATGACCTCCGCAAATGTAACACTACATGTTATTCCCTTTAGAACACTTAATTTATAATAAAAAAATGAACATTAAATGGCCAATCTTATCTTAGAAAAAACAATTATAAACATGACAATTTAATTTCTTCCGATTTTTAGTTATCTTTCTAAATGATCTATCTCAGTTAAAACCTACTCCATTTTATTAAAGGAAGACCTTAGATTTGATTAATAAAATCAAGGTTTTGTTCCCCCTTCTTATATTTACTTAGGGTTTCATGCAAATTTTCTACTTCAATTTTAAATGAATCGCATGAATCATATTTAGATGTTATAAGGATTCACTTTTTATGTTAACAATTTCTTCACAAAGAATCTTATTGCAATTTTCTAAGAATTCGATAAATCACTTAAATTACAGGCTCCTTCGAACCCCCAACTTTTTTTAGAACATGCTATCCTACCTCAGCCTCTTTTTAAACACCAACATTTCAATACCTCATCCTTGCCTCCTATTCCCACTGTCACTTTCATAAATCGATCAATTTACTCATGCAAGGTTTCCTTGTTTAATGATGCTGAGTACGACTATTGTTGTAGGCTTTTGCTTTCAGGCGACAAATTGGACTATGAAGGAGTCACACATACCCTTCCACGAATCTATACTCCCATCTAAAAGGGTTTTAAACCACATCACCACGTCTCCCGTGAGATTCGATACGAAGATCTTGCACTTGACGACTCCTTAAGAGTGGTAGTAATCTAGCTTATCATCTACCTATTCGACATGTTTGTCTGGATATCCGGTTCCATCTTAACGTTGCAATTTTTGAGGTTTCTCTAGAGACCTTGGGATTCTCCTGTCGAGAATGCAGACTTAAATTCTGTCATATGGGTAACAAGATATCATACATAATGTTGGAACAATGTGTATGACAAGTATAATGCGTAACTGACATAATTAAGGCAAAATACAAATATCACACAAATTTGTAACCCAGTTCGGTGCTAAATCACCTATGTTTGGAGGACATTAACTCAATGAAAGGAAATTCACTCGTAATAGTCATAATTACAAATTAGTCTAATTTGAACTCTTTCAGTTTAATTCCTTTTTTCCTAATATTACTCGTGAACTTCAATCTAGTATCCCCTGAATTTAAGACCCCTCTTACTTTCACTCAAATACTCTCTCAAGTGTTTGCACAATTATAAAAATATATGAATGATGGAACAATAATACAACTTAAATACTCTATTCTCCTAACTTAGAATTAAGACATAAGAACATAGTATTACACAAAATCAAACAAAAGGGTCAAAACAAATTAATACATCAAGCTTAGCAATGCAAGGTATAAGCCTTCACAATGAAAAATACCTGATTAAATATCAACAAAGGTCTAGTTTTAAAGCCCAGTAGACTTTAAGTATTAAACGCATCTGAATTTCTCAAAAGCACAAAAAAGCAATCTTCAATAATGTTGATTGTAAAACTTTGATTGATTGAATCTTGAACAAATCAGGATTCTTCAATTTTAATCTTGCTAAAAGAGATTATGAATAAAACTTTTTGAATCCAAAATGTGCACAAAAGTCATATCTCTGATTATATATAAAAGGAAACAAATTCTTAAAATCATGAGAATTATTACAATTAGTTTGCACGTGGAGCAATCTATAGCGAGACAAGATATTTCACCGAATGAAGGACATTATGCTTTACAATCATCTGATTGAATTGGATGTTGATTGATATATTGGCGGACAGAATCACGTGCTTCTAGTTAGAGTGAAAGTCTACTTGCTTCGTACGTCTTTAGACTTAAAATTCAGTCTTGGGCCTTGCGCAAGACCTCAAACAATCACTTTCATCTCTTTACATTGATTTCTCCAAATTAATAACGTTAATGCAATTTTGTACTTCATGATATTTTCTACACTCTTTATATATATTTTGGCTCAAACCAAGATGATTAGCAATCACACAGCCAATTTCATGATTGAGATCCAATACTGAGAGTAAGAAGATAGCAACTATTTAGATGCTTATTTGCTCTTATCCTACCTCATAATTTACACCATTCAAACTTCTTGATAGAGTTAAAAACAGACATCTTAACCGTTTTCTTACTTTGGACGTGTAAATATAACTGTTAGAACAAAATAACATGTTTTATGAAGTTTTCAAATCAATATAATGTTGCAATCACCATTAGTTAGTCCCACAGAAGAACCAAGCATGTGAGAAATAGCATATACATGAATGGTCCTCAAATAATTATTACCAAAAGCATGCATGTTATAATGATATATATTTTTTAAAATATTGAAAATGCTAAAGCACATCTAATGATGCAGCAGAGACATAGACGCTATAATATTCCTTCTGGTTGCTTGAAACATAGTCTTCACTACAAACTTGGACACTTTGTTGAATAAAGCATGAATGTGTTGGGTCCTCCCCAAGTCAATACAAGAACCTTCTCTAATTTATTAAAATTGAACAAACTCTTATATTTTTTATGTTGAGTCTAATTCAAAACCTACAAGATTGGATCTAGATTTGCTGCGTTAAAGTTATCAGAGTTAAAATGTATAAATCAAACTCAATTATTAATTTGAGATGAGACAATTCAAATTTACACGGTTAATAAATTAATGTTAACGATCTCAACCATTAATTTGAGATTACATGGTTAAAATTATTAACAAAGTGACAATTTTACAACATAAAACCTAAATCCTACAAATGAATCTTGTAAGGCCACGATTCCTTCTCAATCAGCACTTATAAATACATTTTCAAATCATATATTATGCGAAACATCTCAACTGAAACACCGTTATATAATCGACATTCAAAATATTTACTTCTCATTCATCATCAAACAAATACACAACTTCTAAGTCTAATCAAGAGCTACAAAACATAAAAAACAATTATTTGGTAGAGTTATTCTTCTTTCCATTCTTGCCTACATTATGCAACCATCCCATACCTTTCAAAGCTTTAGAGAATTTAACAAGATTAGGCCTTCCCATTCCTAAATTCATCTTCCCCGTTGAGAATTTCAAAGCTTGTAAACAACATAACTTAGCCCCTACCTCTTCTTCCTCATCCTCATCCTCATTAAACTCAACTTCACTCAACTTCTTCCCTCTCTTTGTATCACTTTTCTTGATAACCTTGTTTGATTCTTTCTCATATGTTTCCCAAAGCATATCCATTCCTTCACTTCCATCACCATTGTTGTGTCTTTCCTCAAAAAGCTTACATGCCAATGTCCTCCTCCACTCTTTTTCCACTCTCATTGAACCAAAACTTCCAAGATTAGAACCAACTTCATCATTATTCCCAATCACTTTTCCACTGTACTCCCAATTACTTTGTGGACTACCATAATTTACATCCACTCTATGAGATTTTTTCACCTTCATTGCTTCACCAAAATGTTCTTCATCACTTTTACCACTTTTCAGTTTACTTTCATACATGTCTCTGTTACCCTTCACTTTGGATCCACTTATCATGTTCCATTTTTCTTTACTTTCTTCAACTTTATTGAACTTAGCATCTACTATAGCCTTGACTACTTCTTTTTCTTCCTTTTCACTAGACACATTTTCTAACTCAGCATATTCTTGAAACAATGTTACTAAACTCTTCACATCTAAGACCTTTTCTTCCTTAATGGATTCAACAACTTTTTCTTCTTTCTCAACTTGGTTTTCTTCATCCAACTTCACCTCTTTCTCTTCTTCAACTGTACTAAAAACTTCACTTGCTTCATCTGAAAACTCTTCATCTACTTCTTCAAAGATAAAATCTTCCTCTGATTTCGATTCATCAACTTCAAATATCGAAGCTTGGAACATAACTAAATAAGCTTCCAACTCATCAAGGAAACCAATCTCCTCATCTTTGTCATCAGATTCAAACCATGCTAGAAAATTCTGCAAAATAGAAATAAAAAAACACAATTTGGACACAGAAATCTCAGAACTACAAGAGCTACTACTTTTGCTACCACCCTTTTGATGTACAAAGCTAGGAGTGAAAGTAAGAAGAGCCACAAGGAGAAGAAGGGTAGTAGTGATGAACAAAGGAGAAAGAAAAGACACAAGTTTAAGGATATATGGAGAGAAAAATAGGAAGTAGAAAAAGTACAAAGGGTGTGAAAATATAGAGAAACAAAAATGGAACAAGATGGATAAGATGTTACTAGAGAATTCATTGTTCTTATTGGAAGTGTTTGAGAAAGATAACTCACTCATTTTACCTGTTTTTCTGTGTTTGAGACAAAGCAAAGAGAAAGAGAAGCAATGGTTCGGTTTAGTAGAAAAGTAACACTGAGAATGGATTTTGTGATGATTTTTGTTTTAGCTTTTGGAAAGAGAAGAAAGTGTGAGTGCGGCGTGAATATAGGGAATAGATTGGTAAGAGAGAGTGAGATTTATATATCATAAGTGAGGAAGAACACTTGTGATGAAAAAGAAGCTTTGGGAACTTTTATCTTTTCTTTCTTGTCTGTAACAACCAACAACCATGTTACCCACCATCACTTTTTATGTTGTGCAATCACCACAATAACAGCAAGGAAGATCAATCACATATTCACTTGGATACCAAATTTGGATAAAGAGGTTAACTAAGTATGTATAGTGTAGATATTTGATACATAAACATTTATGTATAAGCTATTTCTTATCTTTTTAAAAAGAATGGAAAAGTCCAAAAAAGAAAAGAAAACTACATGACAATGCTTTCTGTTAAACGTGGCATACTTTTGACAGAGAAGAAGAAAAAATGCAGAAAAATATTATTATTGATATTACAAAAACTTAGAAATGTACATAGAATTACCACTACTATCTATCAGCGGTGAATGAAAAAAAGAAAACGAAAAAAGGAAAACGTTAAAAAGAGGTTGCAAACTAAACTGGACCATATAAGCTCATAAACAAGACCTAAGCTATATTTTAAGAGAATTTCTTTTTTACCTTATGTATTTTTACCGTACCATGAACGCTGAAATATTTTGAAATGTATTTCTAGAATATTTTGAAATGTATTTTTGAAATATTTTATAAGTTAATATCGCTTTAGACTTTTTTCCTCTCACTTTTCATTTTTTTTCAAACACAATTCTTCAACTTTTAACTTTTCTCATCTTCAATATTCTCCAACTTCACCAAATTAAATTTAATTAATAAAAGATTCAAGGAAACAACAAGCATCATCCATTTCATCATTCAACATCCTTCAAATCATAAATTTTAGATATGTTTTTCGAGTTTTCGGTAAATATTTGAGTTTTAGTGTAAACGAGTATGAAACAATTGTTAGGGGTAGAAATGTGAAAAAAACCATATGTAACATAATTTAGAGTTACTGTATGCATTGTTTGTTGGCTCAAATGGACGATAAGTTGTTTATTTTTCACAATGCAAGTAGCAGAGGACATCATTGTCGCGACCTCTGAATCTCAGAACTTTCCGTTATACATCTCTGGAATTGTTCAACATTTCATATATTTTGGGAATTTTCAGAGATGCATCTCTGGAATATTGTAAAAGGTTTTTCCACAATTATATCTCTAGAGTTTTCTTGCAGTCTGTTATTTATTTATTTATTTATAATTTTGTGTTCTTATTTTGCGTTAACTAATGATATGCCTAATTTTATCTTACAAACACAATGAATGACAGAGTCGACAGACTGAGACATGCCAGGGTTGCCCAACGCGCATCCGTTCGGTGGGAGCAGAGCCAGCAGGTACCTCTGGTCGGCCAGAGGTGTCGATTTTTGGGGCGCAATCGACTTCTCAGGCACAATCTGCTTCTGGGGATCGTGCTTCACCCCAGGCCAATCCACCTCAGGTCATTCCACCTTAGGCCACTCCACCTTCTTCTTCCTTTTCTTCTTCTTCCCGTAGGAGACAAGATTCACCATCTGACGCGTCACTTCCCCCATCCTCCCGCGGGTGTCAGGATTCATCACTGCCACCTCCTACAGATCCAATGCCACCTCCAGAGGATCCAGTGCCACCTCTAGAGGGTGAGGTTGTTGAGGATGCCGACCACAGGGTGTTGGAGGAGGTCCATCTATTCTGTCATTACTTCTTCTTTAGTCAGACTACACTGCCACACATATCTGGGATGGAGAGGTAACATCAGTTGAATTTTTTATTTTTTATGCGTTAATTTTAATTTTAATTGCTCTTCCGATATTATTTATTACTGATATTGATTATTTCTGAAAAATCGCAGGTGTGTGATCCACAGAAGTTTATGAACCACGGGAGGAAGATTGCTGACTTGCCTTAGCCGGATAAGGAGTTGTTTTAGTCAGTTCTGACCTTATCTTGGTTGAGTGACCTATGCATGACTGGTTACACTCTGCTCAACCACGAGATGCTTAGTGCGTTCATGAAGAGATGACATTCTAAGACGTCTTTATTTCATCTCCGACATGGTGAGATGTCTATCACATTGGACGATGTCGCGTGTTTGTTACATCTTCTGATTAGGGGGAAATTCCTCGATCATGGTAGGATGACCAAAGACGAGGAAGTCGAGATGACGGTGGATCATCTAGGGGATGATCCAAGAAGACGATTAAGGAGGTGGAAAAGAGAAGGGGTGCTCATGTTAGGTTTAAGTTCTTGAAGGAAAAATATGATGAGGAGATCGTTGTTGTAAATATGGCTAATGTTGATGCCGAGTAGGTGGCAGTACATAGAGTCCGTGCTTTGAGGGCATATTTTCTTTTTTTGGTTGGCACCTGCATTTTTGTGGACACGAGTGCCAACTATACTGATGTTGCATACCTCCAGTACTTCTTGGATCTCACTCGGATTTTTTAATCTTACCTATTTCATTTCATATTTGCGAAACCATTGGCGATAAATCTTGATCCCTAAATGCTTTTTATTTTTGTTTCATGCTTGGATCCTCCAGCACTTCCCGCACATCCACTGGCTGGGAGAGTATGGATAAGTACACTGAAGACTAGCCTTGTGCGTGTGCTTTTATCCCACTGAGAGGGAACCAGGCGGCTGATCCTTTTAGAGTCTACATTGACCGTTTGGTTACCGAGGACATGAACTTCAACAATTATGTGAATCACCCTGAGATGAAACCATTTGAAGACATATCGCTATACTCTAGATGGCTGGAATGCGGATCACGTATTACTGCTCCTTATCTACCCGAGCACGTCATGTGGCAGCTCAAATACACCTAAACCATCCCTAAACACCCTGTTGTCTCTACTCATCCTGCCTTGTCTCGTAGACAGATAGATGAAATGTTTGTTGATTATAACAATCATTTGGTACCGAAGGAGGCTCAGACTACCATAGCATCGAACGACTAGAGCTACATTGACAGATACACCAGATGGTTCTTCAGGGTCTCACATCCGTACATGGTGATGACTGCTCCATGAGATCCACTGAGCCCAACTCATTAGGAGATTCGAGAGGAGTAGCAGGCTCAGCTAAATCATATTGAGGATGTATAGCCTCAATGTCATTGCATAGTGGAGATTACGCGGGAAGGCACCGACGAGAGTATCTTCCCTTAGGGGTCTGCTGTCAAGCGAGTATTGGATGCCATAGTGGCGGAGGCATAGGGGACACTATTGTGACAACAGTGCCAATAGGAGTGTCATGCATATTTATTGTGACAATAGGAGTGTCATACATATTTCCAACAACCAAAAATTATTGAGTACCCGGTTTTGTCGTCTCCACAGGGATCGGTGCGAGGGAAAGAATGTCATTTAATGGTCTCTATGTGTCTAAGCTTGTTGTAAAATATTTGGTTGAAAGATTCAAGGTACAATAGATAAAAACGGAAAATATAAAGACGGAAAATATACAGTAAAGACTTAAAATAAACAGAGCCTTGTTGGAATTAGAAGTTCATAAATCAAAAACACGTGCATTCTTCTAACCAGTTAAACACAAATCACCCATAATCAAGGTTATGTCTAACACAAATTCGAGAGAACAACTATAACACCCCAAATTTAATCGGAATATTTTAATTGAAAATATTCGTATTTTGGTGTTTTTGGTGTTTTCGGTGGCTTTGTGAATTATTGAGGAATTATGCTTTTTGGAGTATTTATTTTGGAATAATAGTATGTAATATGGATTTATTAATATTATTATGAATTAAAATAAATATAAGAAGAATAAGGGTAAATTGGGCATTTAGAGGAGTTAGTGAGGATATTATGGGAAAAACCCAATTGTGCGGCCCAAGTCTAAGTTTGACAAAATAGAATTCTGAAGAGATTTAGAATTCATTTGTTTACCGTGGAAAGTTTGGTGGCCAGAGCTCTGAAGGAAAGGTTAGAGGCAGAAGATCCCAAAGTTAATCGTGAAAGGTACAAATCGACTAAGGTATGGGGAGTATCGCTTTTCATGATTTTTTATGTATGCCTTTCGATGTGTTTATGGTTGGTTTAGGGGTTTTAGGGAGAATTATGGGAAAAAGGGATTTTGGCCTTCGTGGCCAAAATCTATCATTGAGATTTTGACCGTGATAAGATTAGAAGGTTATGCGAACAAGTGATCTACGGCCTTCGTGGCCTAGATTTATCATGGAAGTGGTAACCGTAAGGATTCTAAGGGTAAGATGGGAAATAATGACCTTTGGCCTTTGTGGCCTAAATCTGTAAGTGCAAATCTAACCGTGAATTAATTGAGAAATTAGGGAAATTGATTATAAGACTCTGAGATTATGGTTGTGATATGTATCGCTGAATATTTGAATATTTGATATGAGGATTAGAGAACCTTAGGCCTTCGTGGCCAAAACCTTGGGTTGTGATATATTTGACCCTGTAGTTATAGAAATGTTCAAATGTGAGTAGCTCTGATGTACTCAGAGCAATTGCAGGAAAATAGTGATTTAGGCAGTGCAAATGTTTCCAGATTGGCCTAATAAACCATGGATTTTGTGCCATTATCGCCGTATGACCTTAGGGATGATTTAGGGATGTTTTAGGGGCATTGGGTGAGTGAATCGTATGAGTATTTGGGCAAGAATCAGTTCTGGTCATAACAGGTTTTTGCTGTCATCGCTCTGTTCGCCCAGCGAGCACGCCAGCAAAGACTCGCCACAGACTCGCCTAGCGAGCATGCTAGCGAAGGACTCGCCCCAGACTTTCCTAGCGAGCATGCCATCGAACGTAGCAGAGTTTCGCGAAGGTTGATCGTGTGCAGCGATGCCTTGATGTCTGATTCTGAGATTTCTGAGAT